AATTTTTGATTGTAATAATTAAGAAACTTGAAATAATTTTTAAAAACACATGTCAAAATTGAGATTATTACAAGTTACCTAATAAATTCTATGATTTCTACGGCAAATTTAGTCGTTTACAATCAAAAATTGTATTTTTTTTTCTCCGTGTGTTTGCCCTTCAACTATGGTACTTGCTTGTATTAACTACTAGTGATAGAAAGTTGGTCTTTTAATAAGATCGTTTATTTTAAAAGATGAAAGAAAGAGAAAAAACGTTAAATTGCGGCTATATGTGGTGGTTTGAAAAGGTTCTATAAGAGACATTGGATTTTCGTTCGATTTCATTTGGAATGTGAATGGAGCGGCCGCTAAATTGTCGGCGGAATCTCGAAGTTTTCCCGATGGAAATGTCATCTCTCCTTATTAGATCACTGAGGAATGACAGGAACGAAGTTTATTAAGGGAAGATTAGATATTGATGAACCGAAAGAAAGAAGGAAAGAAAAGGAGCTCATCAGTGAGCAAGACAGGAAAAGAAAATTTCCAACTTTATTAATCCGTGATGTAGAAATTTGAGAAAAAGGGAGCGGATTGTTTTTATCGGCTGTTAATCTATTTACTGATTACTAGCCAACTTTGCCGGCTTTTTTAATTACAGACCAGGCGACACTTTCTTGATTCTCTTTTAAAGTTCGAAATTATTGTTGCCGCAGAAAAAGAGAATTTTTGAACAAGATAAAACAATATCGCGAAAATTGAGAAGTCGCAATGATAAACGATTACTCTTCTACTGATGTTTGATAAAGACCTTACTAAGGCGAGTAGTGAACCAAATATAGGGATATTATACCTATTAGTTAGGTACATACCGCGCATCCATAGCCAGGAACAATTCACACTTCTACTTATTTGTGTCCAGCTGTACATGCAATCATCAAGGGGCGGCATCTATCATTTGCAAAATAAGATTATTTGCACCTTCAAAGATATTTTCATAAAACTAATAAAGTCCTGTAAATGTAATTTAAAACTTTTGAGTATTATTACTTCTTGTTCAAAGGATATTTTAAGATTTCGGTTAATTTTAGTATCTTTAATTTTAATAAGAATAATTAGCAATAACCCTATATGCAAAGTACATATTATGCATTTTTGTTCATGCTACATAAAAAGAAAAAATGCCGACAACAAAATGTGTCAATTCTATGTTCGATGAATATTTTGTCTTAGTTGGTATACGGATAGGTATCAGTCTCTCACAGTCTTTCAGAGTCTTTCAGCGTCTCTGAGAGCGTCTCTCACAGTCTTTCACAGTCTCTTAGTTATTGCCTAGGTGTTTTTATGGATCTCTCACAGTCTCTGTATGAGAGACTCGAACGATAAAATTGTTAATTCAGAGATTCGAGTTTCTCACAGAGAGTCTGAATGAATAAAACTGAAAAATTGAGAGACTCGGGTCTCTCGTACAAAGACTGGGATTTCTGAAATATGTTGAACTTATAAAATTTTAACTATATCTATCGAGACACCACTTATTGAGAGATTCGAGTCTCTCCTTCAGAGACGCTAAACAGTTTTTTTGACAGTCTCTCTCAGCGACACCAGAGAGACTCGATGAGAGACGGAGACTCGAGTCTCGCTTTCAGCGAATCTGGGAGACTGAACATTTTTATCTCGGGAGGTAAACCAAATTAATAAGGGATTAACCTCTTGCTCAGTAATTTATTGAAGCTATTACAATATAAGAACCCAAAATGCATACTCTGTTCGGATGTGGAAATGTGTGCGAGATATTGTTTTGTGTAAGTGTCTGCCAAAGTATTTTTTTTGCTTGAAGCTGATGATTCAAAAAGTCTATCTTGTCTCTATGCATGTGTTACAAGTGATGAAATGCGGATGAGTAATACAACATACGCAAACATTCTGGATAGGCGTTACCAAAAAGGTTAATATACATCAAATGCCAAACATTAAATAAATAACTTCAAATTTTTCTATCCGTCAACCTGCTTTTGTTGGCATAATATCGTAACATATTTTGTTTTTTATTATTTTTTTACCTGCTACCTACACGGTAAATTTTGTTCTGGCCTACATAAAAAGACAAGAATAATCACTCGCATTTCAGGTAAATGTCAACAATAAACGCAAATTGTGTTATTAGTTTTTCTTGAACAACAGTAAAACTGATGGTAATTGTGATTAACTATTTTCTGTAAATATATCATAAAAACTGTCACAAGCATTTACAATTTTGTAAATCAGAAAAATATAAAAGAATCGATGTATTTACTGGTGTTATGTCACATCTTCACAAATTGTGTTGTTCGATAAACAATACAAGAATATGAAAAGATGAAAATACATCCGAAGGCCGAATTATTACAAGGTTCTTTCTCCGATGATAAAAGTCTACGTCTCGTTGACACATAAATTGATTTTTCTTTTATGAAATCCCGCGGCATCGCTTGCTTCTGTAATTTATGGACACAGAGAATTTAATAAAAACTGCTGTATTTAATTTGTGCCATTTTCGCTTCTCTCAAATGTCCCCTTTAATTCACAACATGTCCAGAATTTTTGGATAACTGAATTGCGCACCTACAGTCCCGAATTAGAAACCAAAAAAATTCGTTTATGAACCTACTTCTACGTTACGTATTACAGTTTGGGGCACCAAGGAAAAGGGGAAATGCATCATTACGTACTTTTTTCACAGTGACATTAAAAGTACCAAAAATTAAATAGTTACCAAATTGAAAAGCTAGTTAATTAAATACCATCATTAATGAAGCACATTTCATAGGGTCTTCTTTTTTTTTCTTTAGGTCTCAAATTGTTTTGGTCGATTCATTACAAATTTTAGGTCGATTTCCGGCTACATCCTATAAAAAAAATTGCAAATCCGCAGGGATACCGGATTCAAACCAGGTTCCCGCCCATCTGTGGTCCCTAACCGGTCCATAACTCTGTTTTATGTTAAACAAACATTTTTAATTTTGGCGCAGTTTGTAATGTCCACATTTTATTAGCGTAATGAAATAGGGTCGCAATCTCACCTGTTTTATTCTTCTCTTTTTTAGGTTGCTGTTTCGTCACGTTTTACACGCGTAAGGCGGCTCTGCAGGCTCAGGATGCCTTACACAACGTGAAAACACTGGTTGGGGTAAGTTTCATATTCTTTTATTGTTTAATAAGCTTCACCTGTATATCATAAGGAATTACATAGGGAATATTTGATTTCGGTGCTAGGGAGAAGGGAGAAGAACTTTTACTTGAAATCGTGTTGGTGGACTCATTTTTTTTTTCACAAATGGACCAGATTTAAAAGATTGATTAATTTTTTTTTAATAGTACCTTCGGGGTTTACAAAATGTAAAAACGATAAAAACTGAAAAGCATAGAAATTAGGACGTATCTGGAGTGTCAATTAGGGAGGTTTTGTTGTTCACCACCTTTCTCTCTATGAGCGTCCATATTTCTTCGGTCATGATGATTATGTATTATTCATCGAAATATAAAACTTATTGACCCATCTGTGTATGTTACTATAAAACTCAGGAACTTAATAGATTTTGATATGTTTTTACTCTATTTGAAAGATTTTCTACAAAAAACTTTATTGAAATATTGAAATAAATAAACAAATTTATATACAAATTACTAACAGTTTTATATCCAAATAATTTTTGCCTTATTTTGATTACTTAGATCATAATGAAAGCGAATTTTGAGTAAAAATTGCTGCAAATATGCCAAGCACTGATTTGGTCAAATTCTGGGGTCTTTTTATTACAATATAAATATAAAAAATTTCAAAAATTAATAAGGGCCCTTATTACCAACGCCACCTTAGTAAATGGTAGTTTGAAAAAAATAACGCTAATCATTTCAGAATTGTTAGAATTTCGAGTTGCCCTAATATCAAAACCTAAATTAACAATATCTGAAACTCAAAATTAATATATTTTAATATCAGAAGCCAGATTCGAACTCAGCGACAAAAACAACCTGTTTTGTTCTTTTTCTTCATGAATACTAAGCTAGATGTTAGTCCTGGCGTATAATTTTTTAATCAGTTCAGTTTTATAGGAGAACAGAGGACTTTAGAAATAAGAGGTGAGATAGGTTGGTAGGACACCTTCTCAGGCATGAAGGTCTAGTCAGAGACATATTAGAGGCAGAAACGGAAGTTAAGAGGGGTAGAGGTAGACCAAAATTAGATTACTGTTCGTAAATAGTTAAGAATGTGAGATGTTCTAGTTTTTAGGGAAATGCGAAAATTAGCTCAGGATAGGAAGGAGTGGATGTGCGTGTTCAACCAGTCTGAGGGCTGACGACCTTATGATGGTGATTTTGTTTTATAAATAAAAAAAATTGCCACATTGGAATTGTTTGTGTGCTCATTGGTTTTTAGAGGTTTTATTCAAAAAGAGATGAGCCAAACCATTCTGTAGAGTGTCAATTAGAGAGTTTTGTTGTTCATCCCCTTTCTCTGTCGTAACGATTATGTCTTATTCATCCAATTTGAGAAACGTCGCTCAAGTTCTCTATTAGCAGTTTGTTACGTTTGACTGTCACCAATTCTGACCGTTTTCCTTTGAATCGTTATAAATTTTATATAACAAGAGCTTCAGAAGCGGGAATGGACTCTCAATTATAAAAAAAAGATAGGCAATATTTTCACTTCATAATCCTTAAGGATTAAACCTTGGCAATCCATAAACTAAGAAAAAAACGGGTCTAGTGTCGCATTACACATGCAATGTAAATACTATGTCTGAAGATGTTAGCCGCAATTGTCAACAAAACGTCTGGACCGTATCGTTCACATCATCCGCGGCTGGCTCATTAGCTCGAATTTTAATTCGACAAATAGAAATTCGAAAAAGATGTATATCTAAAGCACGGCTCTGCACGGCTGCGAAACGTGGACAGTAGGTGCAGCGTAAAAGGAAGTCGAACGGTGAGGATACCATGGATAGGAAGATTAAGAGATATGAGGAGGTATCAGAAAATGTATTAATAGGAGAATTATGGATATAATAAGCGAAACTTGAACACAGTAATATTTGTTTTGTTTTGTTCTCTTGTTTATGTGCCGAAAAACATTGTTTAACGTATTTTTTTGTCACAAATGAAATCAATAGTAAATTACCTTTTGTGGTATCATCTATGTATTATTTTGTTTGTAAGTCTTGAAGGAAAAACATAATTTGTTGTGCAGTTTCTACAGTTGCTTTCTACAGCTTCATGAACTGTCAGTCGACTACAGTTTTATGTCTCTCCAGTTTAAGTAAATCCACAATTTGGGAAACGTCACTCAAGATTCGAATTAGTACTAAGCTTATTTTGTATTCTCCGTGGTCACTTGGGATCACTGCGCTACAATGCCCCTGTCTTCAAGAGAAATTGCAGCATTTGGTCGGTCGATAAATTTTGGATTAGGAAAGAGGAACAATAGCAACACATTTTCTCCTTTGTGATTTGTTCAGTTCTCAATTAGTGTTTCAGTAAAGCTAATATTTTCGGCTAAGAGTGTGGTGGTCTACATAGTATTTCTTGCTGTTTCTTTATTGCTTGTTTCCTTGTCACTAACACAAAATAAAGTGTTATTGCCTAGTTCTAGAATTTTATTAATTTAATATTACTAGTTCAGAATAAGAAATGTATTAAACTGAATATTTTGGATCATCATTAGATGTCACGTAAATTACAGAAAATCGTTTCATCATTTTCATATTGAAATTTCTTTTTAGGCGGGCATAAATTAACGTAATAAAACAAATATTACTGTATTCAAGTTTCGCTTATTATATTGTAATGTTCGTGGGTTTAACAAAATTAACTTCTAATACTGATTTATTTCACTGCTATCACTGTCAATTTATTTCTGGATTCACTTCTGCAACGGTCAATTTATTTCTTCTACGCTCGGCGATCGTCTCTTCCTTTAAATACTCTTTTGTTTACTTTCGGCAGTCTTCTCGAAACATCCGGATAGTTTCTTTTTTCTTTGAACTGTTTAACTGCTTTCCCAGAACGCAGGTACGACACACACATTTACAAATACGGCGCACATGAAGAAAGGCGCCCGCGGCTAGTCGGCGAATCGTAAGCCGTTCACGCACACGTGTGCCCAATCGCACACAAACACACTCGTGCTCGCTACGATACTATTGTGTCTGATTGAGATTGCCGAAAAATGCCTAGAGTTTTCAACATTGGATTTACATCAGTATGTAAGTTTCTGTTAATGCTGTCATCTGAGATCCCTTCCAGAAGACGTCGATCATTCGAGGTCCATTTTTGTATATTAAATCCGCCACTCTGAAGCGGGTAATTTACTTTATCGCGGTGTTATACAGCTTCTTCTGTAGTGCTTGCACCACTGATGAGGTCATCAACGTACATATCACGTTTCAGAATTTGGGAAGCCGCTGAATATTTGTCCCTATCAGGGTGTGCTAGATGTGTGAAAGTATGTATCGCAAAAAAAGGAGCTGCAGCTAAGTCGAATGTGACTGTCCTTAGTTGATAGTCTTGAATGTTTCCAGACTTGCTTCTCCATAAAATTCTCTGATACTTTCGATCTAAATCAAACGATACATTTTTTCGATATCTCCTCAAATCGCAATTGAGTGTAATCGGAATCGCATAAGGTGAGAAAAGATGGTGCCTTGAATAGTCGGTCCCACCATAAGAGTTTCGTTTAAAAAAATTCGTGAAGTAGTAGACTTCGGCGATCCGTTGAAGACAAGTCGTGTTTTTGTGGTTAAACTGTTTTCTTTGATGACGGCGTGGTGAGGGAGATAAAAGCCTTCAGAATCAGGTGTTTTCTGGTGAAATTTCCAAGTGTCCCATGTTGAGATATTCTTGAATTACATTGGAATATTCCTTTTTAAAGTTTGGTTGCTTCTTAAACTTGTTTTCGAGTGTTCGTAGCCGAATGAAAGCGCGCTCTCGAGATTCTTCAGCAGTAATTTCTTGGAATTGAATGGCAGTGCTACCATGAATTTTTGATTTGAAAATTTCGATAATAAATTTCACAAGCGCTTTCTTCTTCAGCAGGGGCGGCCTTAACCACTGCGAGGCTGCGGGCGGGTAAATCTTTTCGAGGCGCTTGTCCTTGTGGAATTATTTTTAATNAATTAAAATTTGTTTATTGTCATAAATAAATGGTAGCATCAAGAACAAGACACTAGAAATATGTATTGGTTTTGACAGTTAGTTTGGAGTCATTTTAAGGCACTGATACAACTCATGTACCTATTACACTTCGTCACATATCTTAAGAGACAAAACAGAAAGCTTATAAGATTCATCCGGCTGTCTGTCTGTCGCTTATATTCTTTTCAGAAATCGTTTGGCACACACTTAAAATTTTATCATTACTAAAAAATAATAAATAAAAGAATCAGTCGGTGATTGTTACGTGGGGTTTTGAGGCAACTTCAACTAACGTTTCGATGTGGACTGGATTACTAGAGGATTACACAAAATACAAAGAACTCTAAATTTCTAGAAATTGTCCATGTTTTGCTAAAATTGTAGAAGCCTAGTACGAAGCTGTCGGTACCTAAACTGAGCCTTTTTTAATCATATGAGTTCATATTACAGTTGAAGTTACCAATAGCATATTAAACTCACTTGTAACGTAATTAATACGATATCAGTTACGCCAATAGTTAGAGGTACTTCGGAATCTCATGAACCTTAGCCGTTACTTACACGGTATCAAGAGTCCGCCCATTCATTGATTTCTACATTTCTCTCTCTTAACCGCATTGGTGTAGCGTGTCAATGTAATAGGGTTTACCTCTCGCAGCTCATGATATTTTGAACTAGCTATACTATGGCTAATTTCCTTTTTAATATGGTGACGCTGCTTTATTCTTTCTTCCTTCAAAAAAAATGAATAGGAAGACCTTGTATTCCGATTATAAAAATGCGTAATTTATTTTTTCCTGTAAGTTGAATTAAAGGGCAACTTCGTGACCCAGTTGTGCCCTGAAAGCAAAGACATCGGAATGTACAACATTACATCGGCATTATGTAACTGGAGTAGGTACACAAGAAGTGCCCTTCCGTTAATGCCGCGAACTACATTAACAAATTGGGCACTTCAATTAGAGTTTCAAAAAACGAAGATTTCATTACACACGA